AGGGTTTCGGAATAGAGAAGGTTTGGAATTGGGGGTGCGAAGCTATACTACAGCAAAACGGGGCAGTTCCCTCCGTGAGCATTGGCCCCTGGTCCTTAAAGGCGTGTTCTTCTGGGGTCCGGGAGCTGGTTGGAATTTTTGGGTGAGACGAGCATCGGAATACGCCGGACTTGAAATGCTGTGATTAGTTTGCAACTTGCCCTTGATTATTCTAATGATTCTGGTGCAGCTTCTGGAATTCATAATCCCGAAACCCTAAGCAAACTCGATAGGCCCAAAAAACAGGCAGATCGAAGTAAGGCTTCGAGCGTGCATCGCGGTAGTAGGGTGGAGGGTCTTCAGGTGTTTGGAATTTTGGGTTCGGGGTTAAGGGTTTTACTACGGGTTCAACAGTTTAGTTTTTAGGGGTTGGGGAGTTGACATCTTTTCAGCCCTTCAACCACAGGAAATCCTTAGCGCTTGGCTTAAAGAGACTGAATCGCCCCTTTCTTTTGTTTCGAACCGATGGCTTTCCGAGCTTCTTGGCAGGCATTGCAATTACCGGTACACCCTTTTTCAGGGTTTAGGGTTTAGGGTTTAGCTGTTTGCTTGCATGGTCCTTTGGCATTTAGGGATTCACGATTTAAGACCTGGCGCAACCTTCGATTTCACCCCCGAGGGTTCTAGGAGATGTGGTTTTGGGGCCAACCCTAAACCCTACCTGGACCCCAAAGAACCTACCTGTTTTAGGGTTCCTTATTATGATTTCTTTACATGAGTCCTTAAAAACGTAGGTTATTTTGGGGCTAAGGTAAAGCCTAAGTTGGCGTAGCGTCGTAGAAGTGGGCGGCTCGAGTTTCAAAATCCCAAATCCCTCAATCCTTCAGACCATTCCTGTGAGCCCCGCGTGCCAGCAGATCTTTTCCTTGAAGTGATCGGTTGCTGCCCCCTATTTCCGGGCTGGGTCTCCCGGACTACGTATCAAACCCATACACTATGCGCTTTGTATCCGTGACACGGTTTTTTTTTGGAGGGATGTTCGGACTCTCTGAGTGCACACCGCATGCAAACGTCTCTCCTTCACTGGCTCAAGCAATCTGCCCACTCCGCAGGGATTGCGAGCCTGCTTTCGTCAGAAAGCTCTCGGGGGCATAGAACATAGCGACCCTTCTTTACATGGGCACACCAAGTCTCGCCTTTGTAAACAGAAGCGCTCTGCACATTCTGTACTTTACATAGCCATATCAGAGCGTCGAAAAGATCTCTGTTACGACTAGGCTCCTGAAGAAGTGTGACGGGAAGATCCTCTGGATCAAGCGTCTGAAAGGCCCTTCTAGCAACAGTTGAACCGATAGTGCCCTGCACGTCTCGTGTCCGATGATGCAAGTCATGGAGAAGCCTGAGGAGCAAAGGCCTCCATGTGGTGTCAACTGGTGGGGTATCCTTCACGGCAAGGAGTGGCTTCTGGGTGGCCCACCAGGGCGCCGGGCCGCAAAAACGCGTGGCGGGACGCCACGCTCGTCTGTCGCCTGTGACAGCTTGCTGTGGAGTGATGTCAGAGGCCTCGACGGTTGCCAGACATTGTGGTGACCGCTTCAAGTGCTGGCTCAGCCTGGCAGTAGTCCAGAATTCCGTGGAACATACCTGGCAGGCTGTTCCCTCGGCGACGCTGGTGGCCCTCGCCGCTATGCCGTGCACCTTCTGCATGTGAGCCGCGCAAGCCGCGGCTGATGTAAAGGCCTGGGAGCAGGATGGGCAATTGGAGCCTGTCCGTGGCAAAGCAGCGGGCTCTGTACAGCGTCCGAAGATGGCTCCTTGCTGCATAAGGCTTTGTAGGTTACGAAGCTGCAGTTCTCTAGTAGCCTTCATCGGTGTCCGGAGGGCACGGCATCTATGCAGGTAGGCCTTAGTAATGGTCTTTGTGCTCGCAGGGATGGTCTGGATTTCTTGTTGCAAGCTGGCCTTTGTTCGACCTAACACGTGCGCCACCTCTGTGATCGCCTGCTGCACTTGGCCAAACCATTTGTGGTCCTGGTGCCACATTCGGAGGAGGCTGGGTTGTTGCTCAGCAAGTATCCATCCGTAGGCTCGGAGGAGCTCGGCGTGGCGTGCTTCCTCAGCTGTTGCCAAGTCCAGCATCATGGCAACATCTCCGTTGGTAAGGCCTTTGACTGAAAGTCCTGTCGCCGCTCGGAGCAGTCTGCGCGGAGTCTCGTAGAACCCTGCAACATATTTGGCTTGCTCTTCCTTGCTGTCCAGTGCCCATAGACCCGCCCCATGGGCGAATCTTGCCATCGGCATAGCCTTGATGAGTTGGATGCGCTCCTTGTCCAGTAAGGCGGAGTTCCGGAGGAGCCGCTTGAGCGGGCCTGTCATCTCTCTGGCCAGACGTGCTCTCCGGCTGAGGTCAGGGCCGTCCCGGGCATGCGCATCGATCACGGAACCAAGATGAGTATAACAGTCTGTGATTCCGATCCGGATGGCTTCCTGTCCAGGTGGGTTGACTACCAAGGAAGCTCCACGTTGACAAAACCAGGTTTGTTTCGCGCGCTTGCTTCCGGGTCCAGTGAGAAGCGGCAGAAATTCTGTCTTGCCTGGGTCTAGATTGAGCTGAATTCCAAGAGGTTTCAGCTCTCGGATCAACTCGCATACTGCGAATTGGGCGGTCGCCATCAGCTCATCCGGATCTGGCCCAACCAGAGGAATAGCAAGGTCGTCAACCCAGCTTGGATGCGGCACTTGAAGCAAGTCCTTTGCGGCACAGCTTTGGTGTGCCTTATACTGTACCGTCGCTCCAACATCCTTGATGGATTGCTCCAGGTTGGTCATGGCGCCAGCAAAGATCAGCTGGAATTCCAGGTCTGCTAAGGGCGAACCTGGGGCTGTACCGGTACGTGTATGGAACACATGTGCGCTTGCGCTGCCGTTGATGCTGAACCAAGTATTGTCCAGCATGGCACATATCACCCTGCGCACAGCAGGCGGCACCGCTTGCTGTTGTAACAAGCTGGGCCCGGTAGCCTGCGCCACGAAGCGGAGTCGGTCGGTTGGATCCGCAAACAAGTCCGAGGCGAGCTTGTCTATGTAGTCTAGCGTTTGGCCCGTTTCCGCTCCTGTCAGCAGCTGTCTCGCTGTGGAGTAAAAGGCTGTGCGGCAGTCCACAAAAAGAAGTCCGCCATTGATGCGCTGCGACCCAAGCGCTCTCACGAATCCTCTGGCCAACGCCATTGGCACTTGTAGCGGGTTGTGCGGTCTGCCCCCGCATTGTCCCTCTGTCCGCACTCGCTCAAGACAGCTGAGCAAGGGTTTGCGCAGGGCTTTGCAAATGCCCTTGAGCGAGGACTCATGTAGGATTATGCTACGCCAGCCATCGAGGCTTTGAGGGGACTTCTGCGGCTTCGGAATGGCAGTGGCACGGCCACCTCGCCACAGAGCCGGCGCTGAGCCTCTGAGCTGAGTTTTCAGCAGTGTGCCGCTCCGATGGGGTCAAGACTGTAGGCTTCGGGCGGCAAGCCAGAGACCCCAGGGGCCCTGTTGGCCTGCAGCGAGCCGTATCCATGCGCCAAGGATGCAAGGCTGAGCGTAGCCTCGACCGGAAGGGGTCCTTGATGGCAGGGCAGCACAGTATTGCAGAGCTGTGTCGGCTTGGTGTGCAGGGCCCGTTCGGCTTTTGCAAAGGACCTGCCTAGGCGAAGGGTAGAGTCCTCGTCGTCAGGCGTGGCTGCAGGAATGCAAGGAGACAGCGCTGGAGGTCGATACCGCCTGCCTTGCCTCATGACCTGCCTGAAGGCCTTGAAAAGCGCCTCTGGGCCCCGAGCCCTGGAGCTCTGGATGAGCTCCCTTGAAGCCGTGGTGGCATCTCTCTTGGCACCGTACTGTATCTGCGTATTGAGCGCCCTAATCTGTAGCACAAGCAGGCCCTCGTGCATGCATGCCAGGTGATCTTGGGTGCCGCAGGTGTCACCGCGCCATAAGCGAAAGATGCAGTGAAGGGCACGTCGGTCCCTAGCACACCTGAGCTGATAAAGCTCGCGCTTGGCATGTCTGCGGTCTTTGACCAAGGCCCAGGTCTCCGCCGAGATAATCGGCGATCTCGGCTGGCTGGCTGGTGGCGGAAATGCTCTGGCAAGCTCGCGTTCTAAGTATGCATTGACCTGTGCAAGATGCTCATCAACATCCGTATGCCACGATATGGCTGGCATGGCGTCATAAATGGCCTTGATTTTGCCTTTGCCTGCCATAGTGTTCATTGCCTTGGTGTCCCAGGCGCGCCGGCTCTTCTCTCGCCTGGCCTGCACTTGCATGCAAATTTCGGCATGCACGGGGTGATGGTCATGATCACTGTGGCCATGAAATGGCGAGATGGTGCCCAAAGGGGTGACCCCGGCAGCAATCGACATGGGGTACGCAATGAAGTCGAGACACCTGTTGGATTGCTGGGGTCCCGTCCAGCTGCAGACTTTGTCGCCCTTGCTGGTAAGATTCGGCGTGCAGGCCATCTGCTGCCTGCTCATTAGGCTCGCAAGGGCCTTCGCATTTTCATTGATGGCAGTGTTGCGACTCGGAGTCGCTTGACTCCAGGCGAATTGCGCATTGGCGTCAGTTAGCACAATGGGCGTGTGCGTAGCCGGTGCGCGCCGAATGACCGCCTCCAGTTCTTGCCACCAGTCTGCAATCTGGGCAGCCGTGTGTTTTGCTGTGAGGGCATGAGCCGCAACTACGGCAAAATGTATTGTGGCCGCCTTAATGGAAATCATTACACATCGGGGGCTGGCCCACAGTATCGACATCTCTTGAGAATTCCAGTATATGGGCCCATCTTCATCTGTGGCCACAGGGATGCATTTAGAAATCCAAACTTGACAGCCAAGCTGTCCATGGTCGGAAGGCCCGCTGAGTACATGATAGTGCTGGGTAGCACTCCTGGGCTGTGGATCCCATCTCGCCTCCTGGATGCCACACAAAGAAACTCCAGCCTTGTGCAGCTGGTGGTCAATGCTTTCCCTTTGGATCAGGGTGGCCTATGTCAGCGCATTGTAAGTGGCCAGTCTAAAGCGGAAGTTGGCAGCTTTAAGAGGCTGCGTGACCTCAAAATCTGCAGCAACACTGAGCGGCCTTGGTTTGTCATGACAGATCACGTCATGAATGTGACCCGCATCGTTCGCTGCTGGCAATCCTTTGCAAATGCCGCATGCGACGGCCAGCCAGGGAAGGACCTGTTCGGCCTGCGCCTCGTGCAATGCCGAAGGCCGGACTCCAACCGGAAAGCCTAAGGCTGCTCTTTTAGCAAGGTCATCTGCGGCGTCATTGAGGACGTTGCCCTTATGAGAGGGGATGTGTAGGAGTGCAGGTTGCATGCCCTGGGCACGGAGCAGATGTGTCAGCGAGACGCCGGCTTCTGATAGGGCATTTGGATACTGTATGGTGGCTTGTCCAGTAAGAACTTCAATAGCTGCCTTGTTGTCATAGCCTAGCATTGAGGGGACTCCTAGGCGGAGGCAGAGTGCTAGGGCATGGACTGCCGCAGCCATTTCTGGCTCAAAGGATGATGCAACTACCACCCCAAGTGTGCTAGGAGACCCTTGGTGGTGTGCATTTGCACTAAGACATCCAGCCCAGTTCCAACTTTCATCTTGTTGGACAAGCACACAGAGCGACCAACCTGCGCGAGGTTGAATGTTCGCGCTGGCGGGGAAGTAAGACCCATCAGTGTAGATCTGGACGGCAGTAGGCGTACTGGCAGTCATTGGCGGCAGGTTATTCACAAAGGCTCGGACCTTTGGGGGCAAACTTGCAATCACCTCTTGCGACCTGTCCAGTGTCTCTAAGCCACAATCCCGGAGGACATGTTCATACATGTCTGTAGTAACCCCAAGCTGCAGGCAAGGGAAAGCACGGTTGTCTGGTTCCGGCAGACATTCCTCGAGGCTGACGGCAGTCAGGGATGTGGCCTTGATAAGGCCTTTGCTGTGGTCGGTGCTGCCATGCGCATCATCAAGACGCCTGCGGCCGAATGGCGTGGCAATGGAGGTCCCTCGCAATGTCGACTCTTTGGCAGCCGCAGCTCTGCGTTCTTCAATGCATGGGAGTGTGCCTTCCACACATTCGCAGTGGTCGGTGTCGACATGGAGTTTTCTGAGCGCATTGCACCTAAGTTGCTGTCGCCTGCTGTTGTCCTGTATCTGGACAAGGGAAGTGCCCTCGACACCTGATCCAGCAGACATCGCCGTGTCTGCCTGTTCGTCCTGATCCTCAGCGGACCTCTCAGCTGCCTCATCGAGCTGAGCTGAGTCAGGCGTTGGGGGCGTAGGAGGCATAATTGTCAAAACATCACCCATCCTGAGCTGATGCTGAGGGAAAAGTCTTAGCCCGGGATCAGCTGGGACATGCGTTAGCTGTCGGATGTTCGGGCTGACCAGAAGCACGTGGTATTGCCCCCAGTAGCCTGGTACCGGGCTCAGAACTGTATTAGCGTTCGAGTGGGGCTGCGAACTAACGATGGCTATGGTGTCGGTTTGTGCCATAGCTGCAGCGTGGTACTCGAGCCCCATCGGAAGCCAATGCAGACGCCTGATGGCCGTCACTGCTTCAGCAAAAGTGGGGGTTGTGTGAAGGCCAGTTGCTAGCACGAGGTCACCGTGTGCAGGCCCGTGCACAGTCACATAGCCTTGTTGAGGAAGGTGCATGCCTAGCTGTTGTCTCCTGTGCCGAAGGTGGCGACACAGCGACACACCGCTGGCACCAATTCTGAGCTGCCATGCTAGAGGTCTCAGCCAGGGAAACCTTGCAAGAGACCACCCCAGAGGGGATACGGGGGGAGCCTCTTCGCCTTTGTACACCTGAAGGTAGTCGCCTTGCCTGGCTGGTCGATGTGCATTTACTATCGGAACGCCATTGACTGCCAACCTCCAGCCTTGGTCATGCTGCTGTTGGGTGATGAGCAGCTGCAGGCTAGTGTACGCCCCCAGACTCCTGGCCCCTAACGCTTGTCCGAAGCGTTCGGCGTCCCATGCTACGACAGTTTCCCGAATATCCTCGATCAACAGGATTGTCACGTCTTGGCTGTAACCTGAGCGGGGCGGGAGGGCACTGGTAACAATGACCCTGGCCTCTTCCGGGATGGGCGCGTCATGCGCATGTCGTTCAATGAGCATCAGCAATGCCAGATCTAGCATGTTGTGAAACTGTGCAAGTTCCACACTGTACGCAACATAGCCCCTCAGAAGGACCAGGCGGCATGTGGGGAACGCCACATCCATGGTCTGAACCTTGACAGCTGTTGTGGAGGTGGTGGTGGCTTGGGCAGTGCTGAGCCAGTCTGGCCGCCATTCTTCACCCCGGTCGAAGGTGCCACGAGGTGGCCATGGAAGCACAACAAGATGTGGAATGTGGTAGATCCTGAAGTGTTGTACCACATGGAGGTTGGCCTGTAGCTCGGCCTGCACCGTGCCCAAAGAGTCTTGCACAAGCATGCGCCCTTCTTCGACCTCTCGTTCAAAGTACAGGGGCGTCCTAGCGTAGACTTGCAGTTTCTCGAGGGCTACTCTTTTGGGCTCTCTGCTTTCATGTCGTATTGTCCACACTCCTGCACTAATTGCCCTGGCGTCCCATGGAATGGCGAGCTCCGTCGGGGGACGTCCTCGTTCAATGAAAACCATTTGTGGGCAGGGCAGCTCAGGAAGTGGGTCCGCAAGGATGTAGACCGACGAGGGTGTGAACGTCAGCCCGGACATGGCCAGAGCTACCTGATCGCACAGGCTGGCTGCAGGAAGGCACCTCTCAATAGTGACATGTCTCTCATGGTCAAAAACAGTAAATCTGCCTCTGCCACCTTCCTTCTTGACACCTCCCCATGAAAACTGGTGCGAGGGGCTGTAGTACACGTGTGCTGCCCGAAGGGTCTCAGGAAGGACATTGATTGCCTCAGCACGGAATATAGAGACCTGACCTGGGCTACGTCCCTCTGGTGTTTTCCTTGCGACCGAAGGTGGTGTCGATACCTCTGGCGGGTCGGAGGGAGTGACTGTAGCATTGGCAGGCTGAACACGATAGAAGGACGATGCTGTGCTGGTCACATGAGACCGCACCAGCTGCGACTGAGTGATCTGCCCATTCGTTTGCGGCGCTTGTCCCTTTGATGCCACTGTGCATTGCGGAGTCTGCCCATATGAGACTGTTGCTGTCGAAACTGTCAGGGCCGGAGCTTTGCAAGAATCACACGTGTAAGCAAGCTGCGGCCTGGATGCAGATGTCCTCCGGTTTGTAGGGACCGATGCTGTGCTGGTCACATGAGACCGCACAAGCTGCGACTGAGTGATCTGTCCCTTCGTTTGCGGTGCTTGTCCTTTCGATGCCCTTGCGCAGTGCAAAGGCTGCACGGGAGTAGGGACAGGTGCTGTGCAGGTCACATGAGACCGCACCAGCTGCGACTGAGAATCGCGTGGTTCGTTGCGAGGAAGGGCCTCTGCTTGGCCATCCACATCGCCGGGCCTGGTGACCTGACCTTGCCTCAAGGCTGTCCTCGTTTGCGGCTCCCGTGCAAGGGCACTCGCAGTAAGAAATTCCACAACTTCAGGAGCATCTGAAAAAGTCACATTACGCTTTGTACACTGTACGTCGCTATGTACACAGCTCGTTCTGGTGGTGGACGAACGGTGGCTCGAAACCGCTGCCAGAGTAGGCAGCCGAAAGCCCCCTATTGCTTCGAGTGTCTCACCCTCTGTGGCCATGTAGAGGTGAGTATCTCGGAAAATAGAGGGAATCTCGGGTTGCCTACTGAGGTCTGCGGTTGCGCCTACCGTATGGCCGTTGGCGATGTCCAGTGCGCGCGCATTCTCCTCGATGCGCGGGTCCCACCATCCATATGTAACCTGTGCACCGCTGGCACAGTGCACATCAAAAGCCAGCTGCATTGCAAGCAAAGATGCGAGTCGTTCGTCCACAAAGTCGGGCTCAAGATGCACCGAATGTGGAAACTCCACGATCGCGTGGCCGTCTTTCGGCTCTCCGTCCCTGAAAAGGCACGCCGGAGAGCCGCTTAAAAACCAGGCGGCTTGGAAGCACCACCAGGATTGCTTGCATCTTTGGTGTCCTTGGCTTCTTCCTTGACTTCGGCTTTGACCTGAGAGCGCCTGGGGGTTCTTTCGCGTTTGTCTGAACCTGCCACCGCCTCGTCGCGAACTGCTTTGAGAGCTTTCTCTAGCTCCGCATGGTGATGGGCAACGCGCTGTTGGCGAACCTCTGCCTTGGCAGCCTCTTGTGCTGCTTGGTCCACTGCATCCTCCATCTCGTCCTCGTCCTCCTCGTCCCCAGATGCTATCTCGATGGCTCCGGAGTCCGTGAGGTGGGCATCTCTGGTCGCTTCCTTGATGGATTTTGCTGTCTCGCTCAACTTGCTGGTCCACGTCATCTGCGCTGCGTCCATCTGTGCCAGGTGCTCGGATCTCTCCTGCATCTGCTTGGACAGTAGGTCGATAAGGCCTTGGGAGTAGACCGCCCATCCAGACTCGAAGGCCGCTCGCTGCTGTTTGATTCTGTCGAGCGCTGAAAGCGCTTCTTGTCTGGCCGCCACTAGGCGATGTAGAGCTTTGGCTTCCGTACGGGCAGTCGTCTGGGCTGCCTGAGCCATGATTGCCCGCACTGAGTCCGGCAGTTGATCCTGCTGTGCCAGGTGCTCCATCAGGGTATCCAGCATGCGTCGGTCCTCCGAGCTGCCAGCTGCTTGGCCTCCTCCTTCCTTGGGCAGCGAAATCTGCTTCACCTTGGGTGGGAGGGGAAGCTGGGCGAGCTTCGGTGCGGCTGGCATTGCCGTCTCCGAAGACTCTTGTGTCCATCCCTTGCCGTTTCTCTGTCCTCGCTGTCCACCCTTGGCGCTCGTCTCGCCCATGCCTTTGCCCCGTTGTTTGGGCGACGACCGTCGTCTCGGCGACCTGGGAGTTGCTCCTCTGGCCGGCGACTGCCAGCTCTGGTAGTCCGATCGATGTGGTTGCTGTACTGTCTTTGTCCAGTGCAGACCACAGGCCGGGCAATACTCCGCAGTGCCGCGATTTGTAGTCATGCATTTTCCGCATTGCCATGGTGGCGCCATGGCTTCCGCAAGCAAACGCCGCGCCCGGTCCGGTAGTTCGCTGCTTGAATGATGCGCTTCCAGATTCCGTATAGCCCAAAGGACTCTGGAAGTGTCGTGGACTTCGCCGTCCACAAAACACCTCAAAATCGTGCGGCTCACTGTCCGCTTTCTTCTCAAGTTTCTGTGCCAAGCCTCCTCCGCTTGGCGCCTTCTTCCAGCTGCTCGCACCGTAGTTGCACGTCAGCCAGCAGATAAGCAGAACTTGAAATGAAAAACCTGGGGTTCCAACCATTCACCACCAATGTAGGAACCACAAAAAGGTCCTGGCCAGCCACGAAGTGGGGCCCCAAGCTAAAACCCCTCGCAAGGCGTACAGGGAAGAAGCCGTTGGTCGCGGGTGCTACTGAGAGCTTGCACCGCGCTGGGGTTATTGCAGCTGAGAGAGGGGACCCGGGGGAAACTACCCTACTCCTCAGAGCAAAACGCCTCGTGACACGGTTTAGGGTTTAGGGTTTATCACCGTAGCTCCCACACCCGTCTGAAGGAAGCCCTTAAAAGGAAGCGCCAAAAACCGAATAGCAACTAACACCATCGTTTCCCTTACGGAACCCTGGCGGCCCCCTTGATACCAATGCACGAAACCCATAAAACCCTGCAAAATAAAAACAAAACACCCTACACCTAACGCACACCCTACAAAGCTCCCAAGAGGCCTTCAAGCAACAACGAAAGCCTTTAAACAACACACGTGAAACCTCCTTTATGAGATACCTGCAGAAACCCAGACCGCCCCTGAACCCTACCTAAAAACTCAAAAACCCCAATGTCAAAACTCCAAAGCCCTAAGCCCGCATCAAGCCCTCAAAGCATAAGCCCCTAAACCTAAACTCTAAACCCTGATAAACCCCAAACCCTAAAACCTTTAGAAACCTTAAACATCCCTAATCGTTACAGGGAAATCGAGAAGTGTACCATGTCAAAGATTCCTACAAACCCCAAAACCCTTGTAGTAAGCCTTATGGATCCCTAGCAAGGAATCCTAAACCATAAACCCCAAAACCCTTATATACATATATATATATATATATAAACCCCAAAACGCCCTAAAACCTCATAAACCTAAACCCTTATAAACCCCAAACTCCTGCTATCCTTTAAAGGAGCCCTAGCCCCATATAAACACTGAATAAACCCTGAAAGCCTGTAACCCCTAGACCCTAAACCCCCCAAAACCCTAAACCCTAAGCCCCTAAAACCCTAAAACCCTAAACCCTAAACCCCAAACCCTTCCTAAAACCCCCAAAAACCTTAAAACCCCAAAAAACCCTCGAAGCCAAGGCCACGCACCTTTGCGGCCTCAACCCTAAACCCTAAACCCTAAACCCCTCGAAGCCGAGGCCACGCACCTTTGCGGCCTCATGGCCATGGTTATGGCATGGGACTCAGCCAGGGCTCCCATGTTTTGTTGTGTTTTTGGGGGTTCGGTTTAGGGTTTAGGGTTTTTGTGTTTTTGGGCGTTTGGGGTTTCAGGGATTCGGGCTGCAGGGTTTGAGGGTGTTTCGGGCTCTTGTTTTTTTGTTGTTTTCTTGTGTGGTTTTGGGGTTCAGGGATGCCCGTTGGTGGTTATGAGGCGTTGTAGGGTTTTCTTACGGGGCGAAATTCGGTGTGTTTCAGCCACTCCTTGGGTTGTATCAAGGGATTTCTCTTAGGGTTTTTAGGAAGGTTTCATCTAGGCTGCTTCAGGTTATATACACACAAGAGGGTTATGCAGGCTCCTGTGGCTTCCCTTCTGCACCACTCGGACACACAGAACTCCCAAAACCCTACACCCGAAACCCGGACAGAGCCTTGAAGATACAGAAACGTATGGGGGTTTCCGAAAATAGGGGACCCTAATATATAGTACCCTGAATAGTAGGATCCTTATTATAAGGACCCCAAAATAATGCACCCCTTATTTTCGGAAACTCCCGTATCGACTTGAAGGAGAAGGAGGCGTTCAGAGCACAACAGGAGCCAACCAGCCCCTAACCCCAAGAAGGGTGCAAAGTCTTTCGTTTGGGGTTATAAGGCTCGGGGTCTAGGGTTTACGTTGCACTTCCGGAACCTGCTTTGCTTTAGGTTCGTATTCTATACCCGAATTTAAAACTCGTAGGGACGCTGCACAAATGTGGGAACCCTATACCCTAAACCCCTAAACCCTACACCCTAAACGCCTAAACCCTAAACCCCTAAACCCTAAACCCCTAAACCCTAAACCAAAAGTGGAAACCCTAAACCGGTAGTTCAGGGTCGGGGTTAGAACGTAGGGTTCGGGGTCAGATGAGTGTGAGCATTCCTCTGCATGAGCTTTCTGCAGGGTTATCACAATTCGGGTTCCTTAGAAGCATCTATATTAGGCTTGATAAAGGGTACTGCCGGTGTACTATTATAACGGTTCTATATGGGTAGCTCTCTAAATTACGGCCCCTTTTAATTTTCGGCTTCTTTTTATAAGGGTGCCGTACCGCTTAAGGGTTTAAGGTTTTAGGGTTGTTTTGGCCCTGTTGCAAAAGGGTTATTTTGGATGTCCACTTGTGGCTCGGGGCTTTAGGGCTTGGCGCTTTTTTGTAGTTTGCAGGGCTGGGTGATGCAAAGCAGTGTCCCAAGGTATTCTAGTAAGCCATATGCTCCCAGCTGCCCGTCAACTAGGTTTTAATCATCCTCAAACCCGAACCCAGGGTCTCTTCTCCTCGCAACCTCTCATGAACGATGTGTATGTACAACATCGTACAACGTCCCCTCGTCTGCAAAAGAGAAAGGGTGCAAGAAGAGTCTTGCTAGAGTGGCCGTTATTGACGGGTGGGCCCATGAATCAAAACGTCGGCATTAAACCCTAAACCCTAAACGTTAAGCCCCAAACGCCGAGCTCGAAGTTCTTCCGTGGGTCAAAGCCTGCGCCGGCTCGGTGTCCGAGGGGTGGCTCTTCACTGCCGTGCCGTCGACGCTGTGCTTGTGGCCGTGCCCAACAAGCTAGGGTTTAGTGATTGGGGTTCAGGGTTTAGGCTGGCTCCTGGCAAAGAGCAGTTCATTCAAAACGTCCGGTTTGTGATCGGTGTTCGTTGAGTATCCCGCAAGCGGGCAACGGGCGAAGTGCCTCTGGCTTGGACGAAGGATTTCGCAGAGACAACACTGCCGAAGCGAACCGAGTTATGCCCGTAAAAACCCTGCCCTAAGGCTCATGGACCCCCACAGTGAAAGCCCAAACCTTAGCCTACAAAGCCCAAACCTTCGCCTAGAAAGCCCATAACA